GTTTCTATTTATGAATGTTTGGGATGGAAAGGACCTTGAGGGGTCATCAAGGCCTTCTTTCTGCTTTCCAGGAGAATTCGTAACTAAATAATCTCAGATGGGTGAGAAGCTATCAAAAGAAGATGCATTCTGTCCCTAACAGCATGCTACTTCATTCCACACAGACATTTCCATTCATAATTTGCAATTTTCTAAAAGTGAAAGTAAAAATTAAAACCCCAAAAGAGGAAGATTCTTTAAAAATGCATTTATCAGCTAAAATTGCTCAAACGTAAGTTCAACTATCAGGTCTAAAATTAACACACAGGAAAATTGTTGGCTGCCAACACAGTCTTAAGTCCCTGGAGATATCTTCTGATGTTCTGGCTTATTTCTAGCACAATTTTACCTATAGCACAGAGCATGACAAACTTAGCCTACCACATCAATAAACTGTAACTATAAACAACAATTATGTGCACGCGCACGCGCGTCTGTGTGTGTGTGTGTGTGTGTGTGTGTGTGTGTGGTGTATTTTTTCTTACAGATGGTGAAGGCTTTTACTCCGAACAGAAAATGAAAAGTTAGGCCTAAACTGGAGATGTCAATATTATGGGGAGGCTATGATAAAACTGTTACATGGACAATAGTTTAATTTTTTAACATGTAACAAAATGTTGAGGGAATGATGGGTCTTCCTAAAAGTTTCCAAAACAGAATGATGACATAAAATATGCAACTATGCAGAAACACTGTTAATCATTCTAGAATTATTTAAAAAATTAAAAAATAAGGCACCTGGGTGACTCATTGGTTGAGTGGTCTACCTTTGGCTCAGGGCTTGACCCCTGGACCCTGGGATCAAGTCGTCCCACAACCAGCTCTCCACAGGGAGCCTGCTTCTCCCTCTGCCTGTGTCTCTGCCTGTCTCATATGAATAAATAAATAAAATCTTTTTTTATTTTATTTTATTTATTCATGAGAGACTGAGAGAGAGAGAGCAAGCGAGAGAGAGGCAGAGACACAGGAAGAGGGAGAGGCAGGCTCCCTGCAGGGAACCTAACATGGGACTGGATCCTGGGTCTCCAGGATCATGCCCTGGGCCAAAGGCAGGCGCTAAACCCGAGCCACCCAGGCATCCCAATAAATAAAATCTTTAAAAAATAAAATATGTGACGCCTGGATGGCTCAGTGGTTGGGCTCTGCTTTTGGCTCAGGGCCTGATCCTGGGGTTCAGGGATTGATTCCGACATCAGGCTCCCTGAAGGGAGCCTGCTTCTTCCTCTGCCTGTCTCTGCCTCTCTCGCTGTGTTTCTCATGAATAAAATCTTTAAAAAAATAAAATAAAATAAAAATAAAATAAAGGAAGCAGGACCAGCAATGTTGGAAATAGAGGGGGAGGCAATTATACTTAAAAAAAAAAAGAGGAATTATTAAATAGATGTCTTAACAATTGGCAAGTAATGCAGTGATTTATAAACACTGGCATGACATAGCTAGGTAGCAATGTCTAACTTTTCTTTTTTTTTTTTAAGACTTTATTTATTTATTCATAGAGACAGAGAGACAGAGAGAGAGGCAGAGACACGGACAGAGGGAGAAGCAGGCTCCATGCAGGGAGCCTGATGTGGGACTCGATCCCAGGTCTCCAGGATCAGGTCCTGGGCTGCAGGCGGCACTAAACCGCTGCGCCACTGGGGCTGCCCTAACTTTGTTTGTTTTTTTAAAACATTTTTATAAGATTTTATTTATTTATTCATGATAGACACAGAGAAAGAGAGAGAGGGGCAGAGACACAGGCAGAGGGAGAAGCAGGCTCCATGCAGGGAGCCCCATGGGGGACTCGATCCCGGAACCCCAGGATCACGCCCTGGGCCAAAGGCAGGCACCAAACCGCTGAGCAACCCAGGGAACCCCTATTCATTTCATTTCTTAACAAGTCACTAGCCTAGAAGCTTAGGGGCAGGTCAGAGACAATATATTTAGATTTCAACAGGATACCTCTTAATATTTCACAGGAAATATAAGTTAGATGATTAAACAGAAGGTGGATTCATAATTTAATTTTACCCAAAAGGTTGTTTAATGGATTAATAGCAACCTAATGATAGTGTGCTGATGTTACAGGCACTGTTTCACCCTTATATATTTTTTACCAGTGACCTAAAACAAAAACATAGGTGTCATATTTATGTCTTATTTATCAAATGTATCTATCAATGATACAAACATGAGGATATGATATGAGGAATGGCTAAGAGGCCAAATAACATTATTAAGCTTGGGCAGCCCGGGTGGCTCAGCGGTTTAATGCCACCTTTAGCCCAGGGCATGATCCTGGAGACCCCAGATCGAGTCCCACATCAGGCTCCCTGCATGGAGCCTGTTTCTCCCTCTGTCCCTCTCTCTGCCTCTCTCTCTCATGAATAAATAAATAAAATCTTAAAAAAAAATGATTAAGCTAAACAATAAACCCAAATTAACAAGATGACAATTAAAAGATAAATCTAAGGTCATCAATTACATTTAAAACATTAATTGTGCATATTAATGCAATCTTAGGCTTTAAGAATAGAGGTACAGAGTGCAGTAGAAAAGAGGCCATACTCTCCCTTGTACTTATTATACCTGGGTACCTAGGTGGCTCAGTGGTTGACCGTCTGCCTTCGGCCCAGGGGGGTCCTGGGATCGAGTCCTGCATCAGGCTCCCTGCATGGAGCCTGCTTCTCCCTCTGCCTGTGTCTCTGCCTCTCTCTCTCTGTGACTATCATAAATAAAGAATTAAAAAAAAAAAAAGGCCTAAATACGGGACGCCTGGGTGGCTCAGCGGTTGAGTGCCTGCCTTCGGCCCAGGGCGTGATCCTGGAGTCCCGGGATCGAGTCCCATGTTGTGTTCTGGGCATGGAGCCTGCTTCTCCCTCTGCCTGTGTCTCTGTCTCTCTCTCTCTCTCTCTGTGTCTCTCATGAATAAACAAAATCTTAAAAAAAAAATCCTAAATACAAGCAACTTATATTTGATGAGAAGCCTGAACTTTATAAAAATGGTCATTTAAGGAATGGCTGAAATAACTTGGGATATTTTCCCCAGTAAGAGAAGCCTCTCTTAACTGGACATAACTGTCATCAAATACTTGAAGGGCTACCATGTTGACAAGGAATTAGGTTTATTTATTGCAGCTGCAAATAGCAGAACTAAAGAGCTTCAGCACAATGTAAAGAATGTTCTAAAAGTAGACCTCCAATAATGAAATAGGGTATCTGTGAAGTGGGGATGTCTTCCTTACAGCATTAGGAAGTGGTAAGGCCCACCTGCCAGGAATTCCAAATAGGATAGATTTTCACATTTCATGAATATACCTGATCCCAAAAGAAGCCTCCTGCAGGAAGGCAACATTCAAAAACCAGATGCTTAAAAACTGTTTTCTTTGGCGTGTTTCTGAATAGATGGACAACCTTTTTTTTTTTATTAAGTTTATTTATTTTTGTTAGTATTCTCCACACCCAAAGTGAAGCTTGAACTCAACGACCCCAAGATCAAGACTCACATGGTCCACCAACTGAGCCAGCCAGGTGCCTGACGGAAAACTTTTTCACAAACTCTAAGATCATAGTACCATTTTCAGAAAAACCAACAACAAAAGAAATTAATACTCTTTTTCCTTTTAAATGAATGCTGCATTTGTTTTCCTGAAAGAAGCAACATCTGCACCTTAACTTTAGTACCTTTATCAAGGGATAAGGGACAATTATATGCCAGCCTGCCAACTAGTCTCAAGAAGAGAGCTGTCTTTGTTATACATCTACATGGCAATGTTATTCGCTCCACCTAAAACTTCCTTGCAAGGAGAAGGCTCCTCCTTATCAGACGTGTATGAAGCTGCTGTAACACCGACTCCCTCCTCCTGCAGCCTAGGAAAAACTCAGTCTTGACATGTACAAAACAATAACTTGTGAGAACTTCAGAGCAGCTGTGTTCAGGCAGAGCCAGGGACTTTACTTGAGGCAGAGTACTAGCTTAAGAGTTGGTTGAAAAAAAAAAAAAAAAGATTTTCATTTTGAGCTGCAAGTGGGGAGAGGAAAGAGAAAGGAGATACAGGAGCAGCATCATTAACATTTAAAAGCCGAGGTAAACAAAAATGCTGAAAAATTACACACTGAAACTATCACAGGATGTAACCTTTGATCCAAACATTTAAAGATGAGCGGTGCTAACACTAATGAGATCAACGATAACAAAATCTTACATCTAATAGTGCCCAAGTTAAGGGCATCACAAATTCGAGGATGGAAGAATTAAACAAGGGACTTTGCTCTTTCACTGGATATTTTTTGTTCTGCTGCCAAGTAAGCGAACTGTGAAAATGTCTGCATGTCCAACAGCACTGCTCTGAATGTGAAATACTGGAACCCAATTCAGTAATTAATGCGAAAGGGTCAGTAATTAATTGGTCTCAACGTGTTGTAGGGGCAACTTTCTAGCCAGGAGAAAAAAACTTCAAATGGTTGCTGAAAACCAAAGATTAATAGAAAGCTGTATACTCTGGTTTCTCTTCATGTAACAGTTTTACTGGCATTTCAGACCTTATTTTGCTTCTCAAAAGTAAAAAAAGGATGTAAAAGACAAATCTATGCTGTAGCAAAGAAGTTGTTAATTAATTGGCTGTATTAGTTCAATTCATTATCAAATAAAACACAACCATCAAACAAAGGGCAAAGGCTTGTCCCTTTGCTGTAGAGAATTAAGAACTGGTAAGACTACTTAGTATAGCTGCCAAACTTTTCTTTAGCTTTTCTTACAGACATGCTACATTTCGCAATAGTCTCCACTTACCTTACACATCCTCCATGTTTAAGTACAAATTGTGTTTGATTTCCCCAACCCTTGCCCTAAGATATTATGACATATCTTTAGCTTCTGAGTTTAGACACACAAAGGAAGAAACTGAAAATTTTTCACTTTCCTGAAATACGTCCATCTTATTTACACCATTCAAAAAATATATAACATAAGCTAACTATACCTGCAACCGTCCTTTTAACAACTCCAAAAATGAGTGGATAAGACACGCATTTAACAAAAACAAACTTCAGTGTAGTATTATTTTCTGTGCTTAGAACGCCTGTAAAGACCAATCTCTTTAGGAGAACTACTTACACTACTACGAAGTTTTCAAAACATAGGAATCAAGTGAGCTTGCCCAGAAAACTCTGCGCACACACACACACACACACACACACACACACAAACACACACACACACCCCACAAACCTACACTTACTATGACACAACCTTCGGAGACACTGAAACACCCTCTATAAAGTGGAAAACAAACTTAAAGTTAGGAAAGTAGCAACGCGGCAATCTGGGTAGGAGGTGCCCTGGGTAGTAAACACCCCAGTCTGAGAACATAACAAGCAACTGGGAGCAACATACGACTCCCAATGGGGCTCCTACTTGGACTGCCCAAGTCCCAAGCCCCTGTCCCTGAGTTTAGGAAGAGAGGAGTGGAGGAAGAGGAAGAGAGAGCGAGAACGGCAGTGAGGGCAGAAGCGATGAAGGTGGTCTAGTTTTCTCCTCCCCTACCGCTACCCTGCTATTCTTGCAGCCTGGTCACCAGACCAGGTGCCATATACACCGAAAACCCCAAATCAGTATCCTCGGCTGCTTCTGCTCCGGGGCTAAAGACCTGTCTATCAGCTGTCTCCCTTCCGAACATCTCCTTTACCCCCCTGAGCTCCCCTATACTCTTCCCAAAGGGATGCCTTTTGGCCCGGAAGCCCACCTCTGTTAAGTCTTCCTAAACTCACACGCTGAATCTCCTCCAAACCCGTACTTTCTCTCTGAAATCATGTCCCTTATTCTTTTTCATAATTCGACCGAAATGCCATGACTCTCGTTTCCAGGGATGTACCCCTATCTTTCCGGCCGAACCCAACGCCCCGCTTTGGCCTCCGGTTCCCTAACCTCCTGCCTATTGCCCCTGGCTCTTCCAATGCCCAGCCCCTAACCCCACTCCTCGGTAAGCCTGGGTCGTCAACCAATTTAGGACCCCTCCCCCTCCTCCCATTGCACCCCATCCCGGGATCCTCCCATTAGGCTCCGCCGGACTTCCATTCCCTCAGGATTCAACTCCCCTCTCCTTGCCACGCCCTGTGCCCCCCGGGGCTACTTACCCCAAGTTCTCCCCGCACTTCAGGCCTCTGGCCCCGCCTTCCCCCCCAGAGGAAGGAGGCGGTAGGAGGGAGACAAGAGGGGCGGCACTCCGCGAGGTAAAGGCGACCTCTCATTAGCCTCCGTCGCCGCCAATCGTAGCTTCCTCCGCTCCCATTGGTCGGCGTGAGTCCGTGCCCCACCCACTTCCTCAGACAGGGCCCGGCCGCCGCCTCAGCGCCCCCGTCCAACACAGACTGGGAGGGGAGACCCCGGCCTGGGACGCCGCGAGTGGCCGGAGTTGAAAGCGAGACTCCGCCAGATCGCGGACTAGCGAATGTTAAGAGAACTCACCCGCCGGTAGCTCCGTCGCCTCCCGCCCGCCCGCGTCCGTTCCTACAATCTGTCTCCAGCTCCTTCTTTCCCCCCTCAGCGGAGCAGATACTTTCTTCTCGTCCGGCCAGGGGCGCTCACCTCTCGCGAGATGTTGGGGGGGGGAGGAAGGGCGAGATCCGCAGGCCCTAAGTTGGAAAGGGGCCGAAGGGCGGGGCTCGTGGTGGGCGGGGCGGGCCCGGGGCGGGCGGGCGCGCGGGTTACACGTGCCCGGGCGCCGACCGCAGGCTGAGCGGGGCGGGGAAGGGCTCAGGTGCCTGGAGCGGTGGAGCCCGAAAGGTGAGCGGCGCGAGGGCTACGGCCGGCTCGGTCGCCGCGGCTTGGGCTCCATGATCCCGGGGTCACGGGTTCAAGCCCCGCCTTCGGTGTGGAGGCTACCCGAAACAAAAAGCTCGTAGAAGTCAGGACACTCGAAAGTAAAGATTCTGGAGAAACGTATTATTTCGAAGGAGCAAACTTTTCTCCCACCCTCCCCCGCCTCCCCTAAAGGAGCTCACTTTAAAAAACAAGAGAGGTGGGGGGAATCCCTGGGTGGCGCAGCGGTTTAGCGCCTGCCTTTGGCCCAGGGCGCGATCCTGGAGACCCGGGATCGAATCCCACGTTGGGCTCCCGGTGCATGGAGCCTGCTTCTCCCTCTGCCTGTGTCTCTGCCTCTCTCTCTCTCTCTCTCTCTCTCTCTGTGACTGTCATAAATAAATAAAAATAAAAAAAATAAAAACAAGGGAAGTGAGCACTGGGTGTTCTGCTATGTGTTGGCAAATCGAACTCCAATAAAAAAATATATACAGGCCAGGCTGGTGGCCCAGCGGTTTAACGCCGCCTTCAGCCCAGGGCGCGACCCCGGGGACCCGGAATCGAGTCCCGCGTCGGGCTCCCTGAATGGAGCCTCCTTCTCCCTCTGCCTGTGTCTCTGCCTCTCTGTCTCTCTCTGTGTGTCTCTATGAATAAATAATAAAATCTTAATAAAAATAAAAATAAATTTTTTAAACTAAAGGATAAATTGGGGATCCCTGGGTGGCTCAGTGGTTTAGCGCCTGCCTTTGGCCCAGGGCATGATCCTGGAGTCCTGGGATCGAGTTCCACATCGGGCTCCTTGCATGGAGCCTGCTTCTCCCTCTGCCTGTGTCTCTACCTGTCTCTCTTTCTCTGTGTCTCCCATGAATAAATAAATAAAATCTAATAAATAAATAAATAAATAAATGATAAATTAAGACAGTCTCAGATGAACAAAAATGGCAAGAATTGATCACTAGCGAACCTTCCCTACAAAAAATACTAACAAGGGTTATTCAGATTGAAATGAAAGGACAACAGATAGTAACTAATCCATATGAAAAAATGAGTGTCAGTAAAGGTAACTACATAGATAAATAAATGACAGTATCAATGTAATTCTTATTTGTAACTGTCTTTTTCTCTTATAGTGTTTATAAGACAATTGTATAAAAACAATAATTATAGGGAAGCCTGGGTGACTCAGCAGTTGGGCACCTGCCTTTGGCCCAGGGCATGATCCTGGAGGCCTGGGATTGAGTCCCACATCGGGCTCCCTGAATGGAGCCTGCTTCTCTCTCTACCTATGTCTCTGCCTCTGTGTGTGTGTGTCTCTTATGAATAAATAAAATCTTAAAAAAAAAAACAATAATTATAAATCTATGTTGATGAGCATACAATGTTAAGAGATATAATTTATATGATAGCAGCACAAAGGAGGAAGGAAATAAAGCTGTATAATAGCAAAGTCTTTGTATGTCACTGAAATTAAGTTGGCATTAATGCAAACAAGATCGCCATAAATTAACATGTTAATTATAGTTCCTAGGGCAACCATTAGAACAAAAACTCAAAAAATTCCAAAAAGCAGGAGTACCTGGGTTGCTCAGTCAGTGAGTATCCTACTCTTGGTTTCAGCTCAGGTCATGATCTCAGGGTTCTTTTTTTTTTTTAAAGGTTTTTTTTTTTTTTTTTTTTTTTTTTTTTTTATTTACGATAGTCACAGAGAGAGAGAGAGAGGCAGAGACACAGGCAGAGGGAGAAGCAGGCTCCATGCACCGGGAGCCCGATGTGGGATTCGATCCCGGGTCTCCAGGATCGCGCCCTGGGCCAAAGGCAGGCGCCAAACCGCTGCGCCACCCAGGGATCCCTGATCTCAGGGTTCTGAGATCAAGCTGCACGTCAGATTCTGTGCTGGGTGCAGAGCCTGCTTGAGATTCTCTCTCTCTCCCTTTCTCTGTCCTTCCCCCAACTCTCTCTATCTCGCTCTAAAAAAAAAGGAAAAAAAAGAGTCATTAGAATAGTGCACTTTCTATGCCATGATATCTGAGAGTTCCTATAATGTGAATTTTTTTGCCAGCATCACTTCCTGTGGTACATCTTCATCTTTTTTGTCACTTTCTTCATTTATGGCAATAACTTCACTTTTGCTGATTTCCTTTGGTTGCTTACCCAGAGTCTCTAGAATGGCACCAGTGTCAATAATCCCTAGATCAGCTGTCTTTTCTAAATTCCACTTATACTGAATTTGAATTTCACTTCCTGCATTATCATTTTTTTCTTCTCTGTCACTTTCTTTTGGCCAGTTAACCTCTGTTGATTATCTATTTTTGTAGATGGCTATCACTGAAAGACAAGGAAGCAACACAACTACACACTCTGCTGTCTGTGTGTAAACTGAGTAACAAATGAACAATGGCCATTCACTGACAGACTTTGAAAGAAGTGGCATGATTGGTACTAACTGATCATGGTGCACACATTAATGAAGTGATCTGTGTATTGATGAGCTAGCAATAAAGTTTGTACTTCATGCAAGTACTCATAGTTCATATAGCATGGTAACTGAAGTTTGAACCATATTGTTCAAAAGAAATACTGTACTGTCTTTCTTTTTTCCTTATCCATTTGAGAGAGAAAGAGTAAGCAGAACAGGGGGAGGGGCAAAGGCAGAGGGAGAAGCAGGCTCCACCCAAAGAGCCCAATGTGGGACTCCATCCCGGGACTCCAGGATCATGCCCCAAGCCAAAGGCACTCAACTGCTGAGCCACCCATTCATCCCTGCCTCCTTTATTTTTGAAGGATAAATTTGCTGAATATAGAATTTTACATTGATAGTCTTTTTCTTCGAGTACTTTGAATATGTCACCCATTATCTCTGGCCTGCATGGTTACTGATATGAAATCATTATCAATGATCCCCTATATGTAGCAAATTATTTTTCTCCCGCTGCTCTCTTTTCTTTTTTTTTTTTAAGGTTTTATTTATTTATTCATGAGAGACAGAGAGAGAGAGAGAGAGGCAGAGACACAGGCAGAGGGAGAAGCAGGCTCCATGCAGGGAGCCTGACGTGGGACTCTAACCTGGGACTCCAGTATCACACCCTGGCCTGAAGGCGGCGCTAAACCGCTGAGCCACCCGGGCTGCCCTTCTTTCTTTTTTTAAATATTTTTATTTATTTCTGTGTGAGAGAGAAAGTAAGAGAGCATGAGCAAGGGGGAAAGACAGAGGAAGAGGGAGAAGCAGACTCCCCACTGAGCAGGGAGCCTGAAGCAGGACTCCATCTCAGGACACTGGGATCATCACCTGAGCTGAAGGAAGATGCTTACCTGACTGAGCCACTCAGGTACCCTCTCCTGCTGCTTTCAAGATTCACTCTGTTTTTGTCTTTTGACAGTGTGGTTATGATGTGTGCAGGTATGAGTCTTCTTGAATTTTTCCAACATGGAGTTTGTTGAAGTTGGATGTGTAGATTGATGTTTTTCATCAAATTTGAGAAGCTCTTGGCTATTAGTTTGTCCAATATTCTTTCTGTATTTTTTTATCCTCTACTCTCCTACCATGTGCATTTGATGGGGTATTATAGGTCTCTGAAACTCTGTTCATTTTTCATTCTTTTTTCTTGTTCCTTGGACTAGATAATTTCAATTGATCTGCATTTTTTTAAAAAAACATTTTATTTATTTATTCATGAGAGACACACAGACAGAGGCAGAGAAACAGGCAGAGGGAGAAACAGGCTCCATGCAAGGAGCTCAATGCAGGAGTCGATACCTGAACCCCAGGATCAGGCCCTGGGCCAAAGGCAGACGCTCAACCACTGAGCCACTCAGGCATCCCTGATCTGCCTTTAATCTCTGTATTTCTGTCTTTTGTCTGCTCAAATCTACTGTTGAGTCCCTCTAGTGAATTTTTCATTTAATTATTGTACTTTTCAACACCAG